TGAAATATAATTTATTCGAATGACACTTCAATGAAAGACTTCCACTTTTAACAGTTTGCAAAACCACGACACGTGTTTTACTGTACAATAGCTTCTTCAGGTGTCGTGTTCAGAACCTATCCACACGTCTCAATACACCTGAGGAAGCTGTTGTCTAGTGAAACACGTATGGCGGTTTCATAAACTGTGAAAACCTCACAATAAAGTGTTATTATTAGTTTTTTCATCGGTTTAATCACATTTATGAAATGAAATTTCTATTATAGTGATAAGATCGGTTTGCAAACTATATTAACACCAAAAATGTAGGTACATGGCTAATTTGTACCCGTTGACACCTGATAAATAAGCACCGTCAATTCTATTGAAACACACAGGATTCCACACTGCACAGAAAAGAGATAGATAAACTGGTCCACTCAGAAACATACGTTTCACTTTTCAGACTCCACTTTTCAAGGATTTGAACAAAAAAAAATATTTTCGCAAGTTTAGGCTTCAAGGTAAGTACAGATCGACCCATTAAAATGTTGGCAACATGTTGATATTGGTCTTGTCAACGTGTATCCCGACAAGTAGCAACTAGTTGATGGATATCGCCAACATTGGGTTGCATGACATGGAAGAAATTTGTTTCCTGTTGGTTGTATCCATATTTTCCATTTCACATGAAAACACCGCTCAGTATATACGGTGTTGTCAACAAATAGTGTCTAGTGAGCCTATTCATCAGAATCTTCATCTAGTAGGTACGCATTTTATGGATATTTTATATTATTCAAAAAACTTCAGAATGTAGTTCATTGTTATTTTATTTAGCAGCAAACATGATATGGACCAAAAAGCGAGTGATAGAGCTAATTGAAATCTTTAGAACTGTCGTGGGACATTCAAATTGCAGAACGTGCCACCATCGTTAAAAAGTAAATTTGATACTAAGTTGTTATCATAGCTTATCCCATTTGTTGAAAACTGCCTCTATTACCATCTTCTCTTCAGTTTTTGGGCATCGATGATGAAAGCAGCACTAGCACCAGCAGTGTTTAGTTCTATTTTTACTTCAAAACTGAGTTTGGTTTGTACAGGCGAGTGCTTTTGGTTTAGACACACAACTCTGTTGAAAACATCTATCCGGATACAAGTTGCTGTGTCCAACAAATATGTTGCCAACATCCATCAACTTGTTGCCAACATTTTGTTGGCCGTTCTGTACTTACATTAAGTACGTCTAGATACGTTTTCTTGACGAATATACTGTATTGTACTGACATATGGATTACGTTCATTACATCAAATATAACAATTTGATCATCATCTTAAAAAATTATCACTCTGTTTCATAAATTAAAAAATAATGCAAGATTCGCTTAACCATCACTGTGGCTGAAATCTCTTCAACAAAGTTAATCGCGTTTTTTAGTTTATAGGTCGAATCAGTCGGTGGACCCGTCAAATTACAGGGGCCTTTATCACTGTTGACAGGTTCATCATGATTCATAACAGCCGCGATGCGCAGATTAAGCAGGCGCCTCGTAACCCAATGCAGCCCCTGGGCATTCTGAAATATTAAGTGTTCTCAGACGGGTTCAGCCGCCTATATTTTATTAATTGTTTTTGGGACGTTATGAATGGAGGTGATTTTGGTAGGCCAGAATATCGAGGAACATGGATAGTAATTTTTATCAGTACTTTTTTCAGTTATCGGTACTTATTTATCAGTTATCGGTCAATGTAGTTGGAGGTATAGAAATATTATCTCATCTTCAAGTAACTATAACCATACAGTGCTTTTCTTTAATGTCCGTCCCCTTTAATTTTTTGAACGGGTCGACTCAAAAAATTGAAATTTGGGATAATGAAATTAAAGCATAAATACTTTATTTTGAAGTGACATTGACAGATGAAACTTTCAAGATGGCGACTGGGCGCCATCTGGGGAGAAAAAAAAGGGAGGGGGTCTTGTGACACATCTGTTTGATGTTTTTGACAAATGCTTCACAACCCTAGAATATAATGTCAATATCAACATGGCGGAACTTTAAATAATTGCCTGAATACATTGGAATTCAACTAAATAATATGAGGTAATAAGCTTGAGGTCAGTTCAGAAGATGTTCGAAATGATTGCCTTGTACTTCTTGACATATGAACAGCCTATCCGATATTTCACGCCGAACATTTTCGAACACAGTAACGTCAATATCTACAAATATTTATTATTCTCTGCCGTATATTCAATGCTGAAGCAGGTTCAGTTCCGTACACCTTTTTCTTCAAATAGCTCCATAAAAAAGTCCAAAGGTGTCAAATCTGGCAAGCGGGCTGGCCATTCTGTAGGATCTCGACGGCCAATCCAACGACCGGGAAAAAGTATCACAATAGTTTCTTACTAATCTGGAGTAATGTGGTGGTGCTCCATCTTATTGGAATACAATATCCATATCGAATTCATTAGGATTCGCTTCGACGATTTCAGTAATGAGAGGGTCAACAGTAGTTTCCAACATATTCAAATACAGTTCCCCTGTTGAATTTTGATCAATAAATAGAGGTCCTACAATATTGTTTCTCAATATTCCTGCCCAAACTTTATTTTTTTCTGGATATTGGGTATGTGTTTCCCGGAAAACGTGAGGGTTAGTGTCACTCAAATAACGGCAGTTGTGTCTGTGAACATTGCCATTTGAAAAAATGTACATTCGTCACTAAAACAAATATTGTGGATCTAGGTAGGACGCCTTGCATTGGTTTCCATCATGATTTCGCAAAATTCTGTTGTTCGATCAAGGTCATCTTCAATTAATTGATGTACCATTTTGATTTCCTGTGGATGATACCTATTCATCTTCAAAAGTCTCCACACAGCAGAAGGAAACACCTCACAAACATTCGTGACGGAAAAAGTAGACTGTTCAGGATTTACTACCATGTCATCAACTATTTGCACTTACTGTTCTTCCGGAATGGACGGATGACCTGGCGGCTTTTTGCTATATACACTACCGGATATAAGTTCCTTCAAATATTTTCTAAAGATAGGACGATTCGGAAAATATTCATTGAAAATCCTCTCTCTCTCGTGCGCTCTCAGAGCGCACAGCTGTGCCTAGCGATTCACGTTGGATTTGAATCGCTGGAGATTAAATCCATTTGGAAAAACATAAACGCAGTTCTCTAGATGGAAGAGTTCTCAAACAATGAAGTTCGAGGTATACTGAGTCGAATCTCAAAACGATGAGCAGCCACAATCCGTCGTGTATTTCTGATATGTATCGCTCTTTGTGGAATCAAATGTGCCAAGTCACTTGAACACCTCCCGTGAAAGTATCTATAGAAGAGGGGCAAATCTCCAACCTTTCTTCGATGTTCCAGGTTATTAAGGTTGCACGTGATGCTCGCGTCTCCAATCATGAGGATGGCTCTTTTCTGAATGGAATCAAGCAACTTCGGGATATGTTTGGGGGAAGAGGGCCATACATGAGAACAATACTCCAATGAGGGTAAGATCTGAGCTTTATAAAGCATCAAAAATTGTTGGGGTGTGCAGAGTTTTCTGGTTCGGAACAGTGTTCCAAGCTATTGAGAAGCCAAGACATATTGGTGCCAAGACATATTGGTGTCCATTTTAACCCCCAACAACAACGGAAATGTCTGACCTTTCATTATTATATTCGCTTCGGAAACATTTATCTTCTTGGAGAAAACCGCTACCAGGGTTTTTAGGGCATTGAATTGAACCTGATCACTTTCACCCCAATTGGAAGTAACTTCTAGATCCTCTTTTAGATATGTAACCCTCTGCTGCCGGTGAAGATGTGCCTTCGTAGCCAATGTCTTGGAACCCAAATGGAATGACGATACAAGTATGCTATCGTCAGCAAAGCAATACATTGTATTCTTGATTTTTTTCAATATGTCGTTGATATATAATAAAAAGAAGGTTGGAGACAATATGAATCCCTGGGGAACACCAGCGTTGATAGTGAAAGTATTCGAGAGATATTCATCGACAGCAGGGAACGTTTTTTCAGAAAGCTGAAGAGCCATACACAGAAATGATCCGACAAGTCATAGCATCGAAGTTTGGCGAGCAAACCTTATGCCACAGACGGTCAAAGGCCTTAGAAATATCAAGCGCAACAGCTCTTGATCCTCCATGTATCTCGATTGCGTTATTCCAAATATGGGTGACATACGATAGAAGGTCGCCTGCTGATATTTGTTTTATTACAGGTTCATTCAAATATGGTGGTACACTTCCTCTTCTTTCCTTGTGTTGATGTGTACTGATTCATTCTTGAACTCAGGTACACATTTCACAATAATTGGTTAGGTATTTGAAATCCAGGTAATACAAATTGTAAAAACATATATAAAGTTTTGAATGTGTAGATTTTGATTATTAAAGTCATGCCTAAATAGGCTATTGTATAGCGAAACACGTGTTGTGTTTTTGTAAAACTGTTTAGTAAAAATCTCACAATGAAGTGTTTCTTGGATAACTTATCTGAAATACTATTGTCTCAGAAGAAATGCTATTTTCAAACATCAACTGAATCTTCTGCTGAAAAACTCTTTCAGTTCTTACTGGTTCCAACTGGTCTATGAACAGATGAGAAGCGGTCACGGTTTCCCTCATAAGGCAACAATCACACGGTATCAAAAAACACCTGAAAAATAGCAAAAAATGTCCCAACCAAAATCTAGACGGCAATAACGAAACGTAAAGCACGTGGCTCAATTCATGTTATTATGCCACACATTCCAATCATTTCAATATCAAACAACGCTGGAAAAGTTCATATTTATTTTTAAACAGTTTATCTCAGAAGTTCCATTCCCGCATCGAAACCCAACAATTTACCATCAAATAATTATACATCGATTGCCGAATTGACAAGTTGGTTTCCCAAAAGACTGCCCAAAATAACTTGGAATGTGGCCAATACCACCTGCACCAATTTTCAGATTTTGTTAGTCTCCCGCGTACTGGGAAGCGTATTAGCGGTTTCTCTAATTTCTAGTGCATAGTAAAATGTGACGTGAAAATATTTACTTTACTAGTTGAAATGAGTTGGGAAGAAGACTATTATAAGGTATTTTCAGTATTTATGAACTGACTGTTGCTAATGCCAAATACTTCACGGTATTTTGTTGGCAGTGATGAAAATATTTCAATAATTCATTTTGATATTATTCGTTCATGATTGATCTTTTTTATTTTATTATTTACATCATTCAATTTGGGTAGTGAAAATGTGTTATTTGATATATTGTCGATTGCGGCACTATGGACTGAACTTATCATTTGATTTATTTTAAGATAACTATAGAAAACAGTTTAAACATACAAATACACAAATTTTTTGAACCGTATACATATGAAAAAATATACAGAATGTTAGTTGGTAAGGTATATAAGTTATTTTTGGTATTTATGGTTTTCCACTACCCTGGAATTACTGAATTTGCCTAGAAATGTTACCAAGTTCAATTAAACATTCAGAATTGATTCATACAACTCTAATGTACGATAGTACCAACAACTACAAACATTACCAAGGCATACACAACAGCAGCAAATTTCTTCAAATGTGATACCCTACTTTCTTGATGTCTCTAGAAATATGCCGAATTTAGCAAAACTTAACGCCCGTACGATTTTCGAAGTCATCTAAGGTCTTCATCAACTTAAACAAAACCAACAAATGATTACCAAAAAAAAGTATTTGCAGTGTTCCGTGCGTTTGTGATTAGACTTATTCTGTTTGCACTTCAAGAAAATCTGAAACATGAAGATGTGCTACACATTGGGTACACATTTGTGTACCAGCTGGTCTTCTGAAGTTTGCTAAAACATTGTTCCTGGTTGATTCAGTAAACCATACCTCCCGAAAACTCATATATTGAGAAGCTCCCTAATCTACAATCCAAATGTCATCACTCGGTGGTCTTAATACTTTTTCAATTTTAGGTCTGAATGCGAATTCTTCCGAACCACTTGTAAACACAGGTTTCTCTTTGTGTCCTGTGATTTGAAAGAACCCAGTGAATTCAGTAAACCATAGTTTCAGGAAGTTCAAATATAGAGAGCCTCCTGAGTCTGCAATTCAAATTTCCTCGCTCGGTGCTTCCAGAATAATATGGATTATAGCTCTGAATGCAAATTCTTCAGAACTATTTTGACCACTGTTTTTTTTTTCACATGTTCTTTGTGCTGCTGAAACGTCATCGTTTTCAGTGAATTCAGTAAATCGGACACTGATAAATTGAAAGGCTCCTGAGTCTGCAATCTAAACTTCATCACTCGATGGTTTTATAAAATTTTGGATTATAGCTTTGAATACAAATACATTATTGAACATAGTTTTTTTCTTGGATCCTGCCTTTTACTGGAATTACCAGTAAATTCAGTGAACCATTAAAACTCATATTTCAAGGCTCCTGAATTTGCAATTCAAATCTCATCACAGGATGCTCTTATTACATCTCGGAGCTGTGACTGCAAATTCCTTTGAACCATTTTTGAAATCGGGCAAATCTCGAATTTCTTTGCTGATGGTTTGAAAATATTTGAATTTAGGAGTGGCACTGCTGACTATTCACACCATTTTAATATTGTCTGAACAATTTTCTCCTTGATCATCAATTTTAACAGCGATTTTAGAAACTACATTTTCTTCCATGGAAACTCCTCAGTTTATCCCGACTTTTTTGCATATCAATATTATTTGGTCTTATTCACTCTCAATAGCAACTTGTACTTGACAATAACCTTGCCATGACCCTTCTATCCTGTTTCTCCGTGTTATACAATTTTATATATGTCATATATGTGTATTTTATGTGACTTGTCCAGACACCATGGTGTACTTGTGACCAATAAAACAAATAAAATAAATAAATAAAATTTGAATCTTCCACAGCTTGAAGTAACTTCCATTCAGGCAATGTACTGGATTGGTCTGCCACATCTTCCACGACTTACAATATATCTGCAAGTAGTTCAGTGACTCAATAATCTACAACCATTCCGCCGACAAAAATAGGTTCGACAATGCACGACTCTACAACTGATTCAGTGCTTGAAAACAACAGTTATGAAGCGTCAACTTGGCCTATCAACATTTAAATTTTTTTTATGAATCTCAGGATTCTGGAAAAACATTTGGTTAAAGAATTCTGAAGCCAGTACTTCTTGACAAGACTGTAAACAAAAACACACTGCTTTCATTGTGGTATCGGAACGAACCGTCTTATCTAGAAATTTTCTAACCTACACAAGCGGTGTTACGGAATGTATTGGAAAGTTCGAAGAACATGGGGTTCAAAGTATTTTTGAGCACACCAACGCTAGAAAATTGTCTCAAATCAATTGAAGATCCAAGATATCTTTCAAGTATATCAGGAGTTTACTAAATACCTTCAAGTTGTGGATTTTTTACATGGGAAAGACGGAAAGAAATATTAAAACGTGCAATACGAAGCGCAAGAAAAGTTTCCGCTTTGGCAAGCAGATAGATATTACCTTTTACCGAACGTAAGTTCTAGATAAAACCAAAGCTATATAGGAATGCTATTGAAATCCATCTACACAAAAATTATTTCAACCGTAGAAAACGAAGCTCAAATATCAATGAAACATGAATAGTGCTATTCAAAATGCCAACAGGGCAGGACCAGTTTCACTTTGTGTATCGCAGAGAGGAAAAATACTTCGACTATTGCCATATCGCTTTTGGTAAAATCTGCCGCATTTGCAAATGAAACGTCAGACCTAATAACCTGCAGACCACGGTGAATGATCCCAAAAACAGCAAATAATGTAGTCATATATGTTTCATTCTTTACACAATCAACCATTCTTATCTCTGAAAATGTGTTACTTTTCGAAACATTTTCTTTTAGAGTTTACTCCAATTGAAGATAAGTTTATTCTGACTTTATTCGTTCGTTGAAGTCCTATTCTGTACCGCCTGTTGGTGTGGCTTATGAAAATATCGGTTATTCTGCATATTGATTAGGTTTTTCAATAATTTATGAGCATTAGTTTCTTCAGTCAGTTTTTCAATATTTACCTGCAAACTTTTCTTCACACCTCTTTTCAGTGCTCATATGGTTATTTTCAATTCATTTATATTAACTTTCATAATATGTTTGACAAATAGAATACGAAATCAGGTACCAATAACAAAAATTCCCTTCTTTATTAGTACTGATAATGAAATTTAATGATATCACTCGAATGAGAGTGGCATGTGCTTAATTCAATTCAGTTTGTTTACTGGTTTGTTCTGTAGTGATTCTAAAATTAAATGCTTATTATTTAAACTCTATAAATAAATTGCATCGAATTGGGTTGAGAAAATAAATATATACAATATATACACGATTTTTTCAGTCTGAGGAACTTCCTGGAGAAATTTTGTTATCGTAAGTTCAGTGTCGAAAATTAATTGAGTTCTAAATTATGGTAAATATTACTCAATAAAATTTATTCTTGAAAAAATAGTTATATTATAATGCATTGCGAGGATTTCAAATGAATTTCTTTATATTAGCTTCACCTGTATGTATGTATGTTTGTTTGCTTGTAACTCCCAAGCTCGGGATCTGTATTGATAGAATTATCGACATTATTATTGCTTGATCTATTCGCGGGCAGATGGCGCTCTACGTAACCTGCTTGATCTATTCGCGGGCAGATGGCGCTGTACGTAATCTCCTTGATATTTCTTGATCTATTCGCGGGCAGATGACACTGTTTGTAACCTCCTTGATAGGTTGTTCACGCAGAATATGGATTTCAACAATGAAAACGTTATCGTAAATTGTACACCTAAAAAATTCATTTACTTGAATATTTCAAAAAATCGAAAAATTAGAATTAAAGTGCTCGACATATATATCAAATCGATAGATTGATTTGAAAAATAAAATTATTCACTGAATATTCTCAGTCCATTAATATTTTGAATCAAACTTCAAATGAAAACATCAAGACTGAATTGTTTTTTTGAAATTATTACTGCAAATTTTCTCTTTAATTCGAAACAAATTTTACAACTGTCCGCCTTCTTGGAGACTGCATCTCAGTATTACTATATAATTTAGGACCTCAAACTTTTTCATGTTGTTTGAAAGAGATTTTACATTCGTGCGTCGTCTGTTAAGGATTTATTAAATCAAAACATGCACCATTACCAATAGAAAATTTATAACATTCATAAAATTGCATAAAAAACAATTCGAAAAGTCTAAATGAAATTTTTGAAATACCATTTATATCCACAAACAATTGCTTCTAGATGCTGAGCAATGACCAAAACAAACAAATTTCTCTTGTTGTCACATCTCAGATTTGCTGTCTTCCTTGAGTATTTGTATCACGAGTTGAGGTCTTATTTTGCACAATAAAAAAAAGTGTATTCATGTCAAGGTGACCTGTAGTATAGACAGAAAATTCCATCCATGAATGTCAAAAATAATTGAGGCTCCGCAACACAGTCAAACTTCGACATCGACCGTCTGCCAAAATTCGTTCTTTGTCTTCCACTGCAGTTTTCACTGCAAGACGACTAGATGAAACGAGAGCACAAAAATGAAGCTTCCATAATCCGACACCAGACAGCGCTGTTTTTTCCCGTCAAGATCTCATCAGGGTGCTAGAATTAACAATGAATGCATTGATAGAAAGCCTGAAAAAGTGAAGTCCTCTTATGAAGGCTCCATCTAAGGGTAGATAGAAGCTGAATGCAAAAGTATCACTAACAAACGAGGCTCCCCAAAGGTGCCTGTCGATTCCATAGATGGTGTCGTTATAAGAGGAGATCTCAACTGTGTAGGATGTGTTTGGTTTATTGATGATGACTGTGAATTCTTTCGATGTCCCAACTGTAATGTAGATTATTGTGTGCAATGTGTGGTTTACCTTTATCGTGATTTGCCGAGAATTTCGATGTTGGGTTTGGTTATATCCCGGTATCTGGACGAGTTTCCTGTCTATAGTTCACCGCCGGGATTTTTCCGAATATAGATCGTTATATTATGTGGTCATTGACAAAGTTATCTCTGATTCAGTGGTCGACAAGGCTCT